AATCCTTTGTCTCCTTGGTTAAGTACTGAATGGTTTTTGCCTTACCTAGTAAATATTTTGTTTCCAGTTGAAAGTGGAAGTTGTTATGTACATGACAGGGAATGTCTCTCATTACATTGTAACCGAGCCGCCCTGGAAGACCCTCGAAGTTATGGCGATTGAGAGATATTAGTGATCTTATACTCATTAGGCAAACTTAAGGATTTAACTCGGTGTGATTCTTTTTAAGCAAGTATTATGCTTAAACAAACTGCCAAGATGGCAAAATGTCAAAAATGTTTTTTGTTGATTTTTTAAAGTTCGATTACATTCCACGATCTCATTCTTTTCACAAATAATTTAGAAAGGGGCTCGTTAGAGGCAATACCATATCTCTTACCATTTCAGCGTCTTCAATGCATCATTTAAACCGAAGTAAAGCGATGGTAAACCGATGTTCCTCTCGAATACAAATCTTTTTTTTTTTTTAATAATTTTAAATTTGAATGCGTTTGTCTATTTATGAAATACTAAGGCTGTTTAAGTGTTAGGAGTTAACTGTAATGAATCAGTGATACGGGTGCGAGGAGCCTCAGTTCAGTTTACAATTTCTTCTTTCCGAACTGACTCACATGGCTTTTAGGGCTTAGTAGGGTTTCTGTACCTGAATCATGAAAGCATGAAGATGGGAAATTATTCCATCAAAGGCTGTTTACCTCTCGCTGGTACGTATTTACACTTGGCCCATACGAACGAATTTTATAAAAGAAGAGGAACAAAGTCAATAAAAATTATGACTGACTTATAGTGGGGTAATTTAGCACTATCAACTGAGTTGGTAACGTAAATTGGCAGACGTTTCACTCTGACGAAGGGCTAACACTCTTAACGTCAGCGTTGTAACTCTTTACGGTGGCCAATTTACGTTATCAACTAGGTTGACTAAATCACCCTGTTATACTCTCCCACCGACGCAGCACCACAGTTTGTTTAGGAACTTACCCCCTTATTTCATTTCACTAATACTGAGCCTGATATTGCCCTAAAAAATTAAAAAATTTAACCAAAATTCTAACCTATTTTTGCGTGTTTTGAAACACTTCATCCTTAATTAAAGCATGTCCTTCTCTTCTTTTTTTTCTTTTTTATCATTTCTGTTGCCGAATACTCGCGACCGCGCTCATTGGTATAAGCGAACTTCTCTTCTTCCTTTTCATCATCCAACCGTATATCTTACAGTAGTCGCTCCTCTCCCACCCCCTCCCCCCACATTCCTATGTGATCCGAGTTTAATCTTAGCTTTGAGTAGTGAAAAAGTGATAGAAAGGAAAAACATCACCCTGAGTGGGCGGAAAAATCGAGCTGTGAAAGGTTCAAGTTATTTTAAATAAAATGCATGTACAGTAGCTGGTTGTCATGACCCTCAGAGTTTGAGTTTGTGAGTGCATTTACACAGGAGCTAGGGTAGATCTTTTTTTGATTTGTCGTTTGTACAAAGAAACCAAGAGTAGGTAGACTGAAAGAATATTTATGAGCTCCTGATGCTACAACTAATCGAGAGGAGGGCCTTTCTCTTGCAAAACTAATTTATTACCTTGCTGATTTTTTTTTTTTTGGGGGGGGGGGGTTCTGACGAAAAAACTCGCCGGTATTCGGTTTCCATAAAGGCCCAGAACCTCACTCAATTAGTAATTGGGAGATAGTGACCTATGTGATAGCGAGGGAACGACGAAAATGTCAAAATGCCAAAATGCCAAATTGGAAGGAAATTAAGTGCTGATTGTAGCCTGTAGGTATAAGCGCGCGTGAGGCACCCATATTTAGTGAAAAGCACTTAATAAATCATCATATTAAATCTTTGTCCCGTACGTCGCGGCTAATAAGTGACAAACATGATCCCATGTCCTCCCTGTTCAGTGAATCAATGCACCGAGAACGCCAACTATCTACTCAGCCAGCGGTTTCTCAGTGAGAAAAACAAAATGGCGTCGGCGAGCTTGGAGGAAGAGGACACAGAACTGAACTTTGGAAAGCTTTTAGTGAGGACGTTTAGCTCTAGTGCAACACCTGATAGTAAGCGAGATGCTCAATGTAAAGTGGAGAGATTGAATCTGTTGAACATCGCAAATCTTTGCATTAAAAATCTCATCGATTCAGCTCTGAAACTTGGGAAAGTCATCGACGAGTCGTTTGAACCTTTTCAGCAATTTTTTGTAATGCTCGAAAGCGTTCTACGACATGGCTTAAGGAGTGAGTAGATATCCAAGAATGTTTTTACTCAAAAATCGCCAGTAGTGCGAGAGTGTAAAAGTTGATGACTGAAGCCGGATGGGAAGCTTCTTTTCGTTATCAAAGTGAAACTTAATATTCTAAATCTTAAAACAAAACAAAACGTGAAACCTTTGTTTGTCACATGACTACTAATGCTACAATCAATTTGAAATCAGTTTTTCCTTCAGGTAGGTTGTTGACTATTTTTCACCGGGGAAAAATATTCTGATTTCTCTTCAATGAAATTTGTGACACAGTTTGAAAAGTCGCCATAGTGGTTGTTTTCATTCACTGTCTTTTTAACTGCAGAGCTTCAAATAAATTATGCATGAAAAATTTGTCCCATTTTTATTTTTAAGATGCATTTTTATGAACCCTACTCGCAGAATTAAACTTGTTCATGGATTATAATGATTGCTTAGGAATTAACCTACTCTAACCTGATAACATATTCAAGTACAGATTAAAATAAGGCAAGAATCTAGATCTTTTGCACCATTTAATTTTTCAGCCAGGTAGACGTTTATATTTTTCACCAAAAGAATTTTTAAAAAAACGTTTAAAATTCTTGAACATTTGTTTTATTTTAGCCATTGCTATTAAGTTCATGGTTGAATTTGTGGAATTTATATTTTCATAAACCTGCAACTTATTTTTCTGGCATGGAGGAGGTAGAAGGCAAGCATGCTCCAGTGGGAAGAGGCTCTTCCCAGAGTTCTCTTCTCTTGTCCATGCCACATTTGCTTATTATGTGTGCAAGCAGATCAACAGTAATTTTAAAAATTATTTGATCACCAAAACCTACAATTGTATATTGTATGGTAAATAATGCACTTCAAAGAACAGTATAGCAGTTCTCTTTGCTGCTGTTCCTTTGACTGTTACCTAAGTATGCTCTTTCTGTTTTCATTGTTTAAGTGAAACGCAATATTTTGGGTCAAAGGAAGGATTATTGGGGACCATTGGAGGCATTAGAACAAGTTGCCCCAGATTCGTCAGAGATTGTTAAAAGTGTTCAGAATCTCCCAAATATCAGGTACATGTATCAGTGCTGTATGAGGGCATTTCCTATTAATATTGACATTCAACCCTGTAAGGTCCAAGCTCAGTGGGTTACAAGTCCTAGAGACAGGTCCTTGTGACTTACTGCTTTGAGTCTTCTGCTTCTTAAAAAAAATGAAAATTTGCCATGTCACAGAGGTGTATCAACTGCTTGCTTACTGTGTCTTAACCCTCAGTTCAAGAATGAAATGTGCATTGCCCTTTCTCAAGAAACCAAGAATAGTTTGAAATGGGCCCAGATATGGCTTTCTTTATTCTATGTATCCACGTAAATTTAAGAGCACAGTACTGGCCCCTAGATCCCTTTATTGCAGGTCATTTTCTGTGGATATTAAATTTTGATAGCCTTTTGCACCAGCATTGGAATAGTTACAGATGAGGATTCAAATTCTTGCAAACTTTGTGGTCTTGATGAGGACTATTGAACAAAACCAAACTTTGGAGACTTAATAGTAATTATTTGTTTTACTTCTACACTGTATGCTGCAAACAGCAGAGAACTGCACCATTATTGCTTTTACTTTCATTAGTCTGGAGAAGTATAGATCTATAATAAGTACCAAACCTCCTGTTTTGAATGGGTATTTGAAATAAATTTGTTATGTTAATTCCTTCATGTACTGAACAATCACACCCTGAAATGTAGTGGACATAACTTTGAATTTTCATTTCTTTATAGAACTAATCATGGTAAAGGACGAGCTTGGGTAAGGTTGGCCTTGATGCAAAAGAAACTTGCAGAATACCTGATGATTCTGGTAGAAAGCAAAGAATTGCTGAGGTAAGTATAATTATTTGATAAACTAAAAGATGGCTGGACATGGTTTACAATACAATTTTAGTGTTGATGGATCAATGCCTTAACAACCCTTATACAATGTTACACATCAGTCAGTGATTTTTAAAACATTTTCAAGACATGTTGTCATATTCCTTTTTTAAGATGTTGCTATGGCAATAGTATTTCCTATAAAAAATTCCTTTCAAATTCTCCTTTTCTCATTTATGAGTGCAATAAGTGTCTAGCTTTCTATTTCACTGTCAGTACATGTAGATTGCAAAATTAGGTAAAGAAATGCATGGAAGAGATGAATCGATACTTGTACTTAAAGTTTCTTTGGAAATGATTCTAAACCTAGGTATATAAATTTTGTTGGTTATG